CCTCTCTCCCCGCAGGCCGAGGTGGAGGAGACCCTCAAGAGGATCCAGGCGCACAAGGGCGTTGTGGGCACCATCGTCGTGAACGCTGAAGGTAACATGCGGCCGAGGCCTCCGGAGCCTTGATGCCGCCCTCTCTGAATAAAGCGTGGGAATGATCATCGCTTCCCAATAATTCATGGTCTTACAACGTGTTGTCGTTTATTCCTCTTATTTAATCACATTAAACTCTATTTTTCAGAACCAGATCTCAAACATCACACAGTAGGTTACAGAAGTAGAGCGTGTGTGTGACACTGCACAGCTGCTTTTGCAGTTGCTTGTGGGTCCCAAGTCCTTCATGTGTGCGGGAACACTCACCAGCACTTCACCCTGCGCCTCTCCTCTGAAGAGTCAGTAAGGTAACAGAGGAGAAAGCTCTTCCCAAGGGTCAGGGCGCCTCCTCCTGTGGCACAGCAGCGGGGCTGTGCTACACGGGGCGCTGCCTGGGGAGTGTTGTGACAGGTTGACATAGCACCTCGCAGGGCGAGTTCTGTTTTGTGTCCAAGGCTGCAACTGGGCCTTGGAGATCATGAGCCCATTGTGGAGCTGGTCACAGAAGTCTGCTTTGAGAAGCTGAGCTTCTAAACCTAGTTTTGTTTAAACCACTCCACTGCAAGTAGGGTCAGTCAGCAACTCCACCATACCTCACCCATGTTAAAATTTCATTGTTGTCCTTCACTTTTACAAACAATGAAGTCTATTCCCTCAGCAGCACTTCAGCAGCAGCTGAAAATAACACCAAGAAGGAAGCCCAAGGTTCTTTTTAGTCTTTGGAAAATCTAGACAATTTGATTTGCATGCCTGGACATGATAAATAAAACATGTCTCTGCTCACAAAGTAGATGGTGCAGGTCAAGAGAAGTGCAACCTAACAACCAGTAATGAAAACCTGCCCTGTGCCTGCACATCCTCATTTCTATGTATGGCTGTTTACTAAGCTTAAAAGCAGTTTGGTTTTAGAACAACTATTTTTAGCTGTTTCAGGATTCTGTTTAAATCAATGGAATGTTACTTGATCCAATGAGCCTTTATAAACTGGTTAATTTGCAGACTAAAACTGAAAAACCCAACTATTCAGAAAACACAGTCCTTGTTGAGTTTGCACACATACATTTCTTCTAAAATATGTCAAAAACACTAAACTAATTAATAGGAAAATAACAACATTTTCTTGTGTTCAATTTCTCAAGCATTGTGCTTTGGTTTTTTGGTGCGATACGGGTCAAATACCCTTTCCCATTCATGTGTGCTCATGTCTTTACCTCCAACATTTCTACTGTCTATTGAGGGAAAGTTCACATGTAGATCTGCAGAGTCTTTGTGCTATTACCACATTTTTTGTTTTGTTTTAATGACAAATGTTATGTTGTGGATTCCTTCTTACTTTTCTTGCACAAAGGGGGTAGTACAATCCCTTTCCTGCACATCAGGCTATTCACAGCAAGGCAAAAAGTTATCTCCTGTTCAAACTTCTGCTTCTTCACAAACCTACATGCATGTGGCCGCCTTGAAACCCAGTGCAAAAGTAATGAAAAGATTTGGGGTTTAATTTCTTAAATTATTATTCACATTGCCAAATGTGAATACAGCACACCATAGTATGGGAGAATGTATGCAAAGTACCAAGAAGTTTAGATTCTACAGAATAAATTTGTCCTAAAGGAAGAACAGCTCACTTTTAGCTAAGGATGTCACTTGTGTCAACATATTTTCAGATTATTATTAGACCCTAGAGGGTGACCCATTTCATTAAATGTGCTACATTTGCTGAGGTAATCAGTTAGATAAAAGGTCATACAAACTTGACTGGGCTTCATTGCTGCTTTTAAGAGATTTACTATTTTAATGTTGTCATTATATAGATATTTTTGTGTTAATGTAGTACTTGGGAACACCTGTTTGTTTCCCCTAAATCCTCAGTTTCATCTGTGTAATAAGCATCAGACACACTAGATCATCCTGTTATACTTCTCTGCCAGTGCAAGTTCTCAGGTTCACAGTGATTTTGGGTGACTCAGATGATACTGTCCTAGAAAAGTTAAGGAATAGCCTAAATCTAATGTAGTACTATAATTTCTTTTATTCTCTTGCCTCCAGTTCTCTAACTGACATTCAGTATTTTTGCATGTTAATTCTTTCATAAATCAAGCTCTTCAACTTGTTAAGTCATATTATTCTATTTTATATTCCTGTTCATCTGGAAGATACAGTATAAATGTATGTAAAGAGAATATTGCCTTGCCAACTTTTAATCTCCTTATTAGTAGGTGACAGGAAATTTTTAGTAGATGAAATAAGCTTATTAAAGCTAAACAATTTTACACTTGCATGATTACTGTGACCCTTATGCTCACTTCTACCTGGTATATATCAAAACCATGATTTGACAAATCACTGCTAGTCAGTGACTCACTGAATTATCAAAAATTAATCTTAATTTATGTGGTTATATATTAATAGTTCGGACTGATATAGTATGTGCTACCAGTTGTTAAAATTGTGCATCTTGATTATAAGACATTCTTTTACGAGTGGTTTATTTGCCAAATGTGTAGCAGCAGTTAGGCTCTTCCAAAATATCCATAAAACAACTCAATGTTTAATTGCCACTAATTAATAATAATAATAAAAAACTTAAAACACATGTAGGTTCCTGAAATCAATATAAATCCTTTATGGTATGAAAAAGTTGTCTTTGTTTTTTTATGATTTGCTATATATGAATAATATGCAGTTTGAGTGAGTTATGAGTTAGACTATTATTTATTTGCAGGAATTCCAATCAGAACAACTCTTGATAACTCCACAACTGTGCAGTATGCAGGTCTTCTTCATCAGCTCACCATGAAAGCCAGGAGCACGGTGAGAGATATTGATCCTCAGAATGATCTAACCTTTCTTAGGATCAGATCAAAGAAACATGAAATCATGGTAGCTCCAGGTAATATTTCTATTAAATAATCATAAAATTGAATGGACTTGAAATTTCTTTCAATTCTTCATAAGTGAAGCTGGTGTAAGAAAATGCATTTTAAAAATTAATATCTTAAAATAAAGCCATAAGAAGGCATCTTATAGATCCTCTCTGAACATATCTATGCTGTTCATTATGTACGCAGATGCTAGCATGTTAATGTAACATATGCAAGTTTAAAAGCAACAAAATAAGTGCAGATCTGATCAATGCTTTGGTTTTTGTGCCTTTTTCAACCAACAGAAAATTGGACAAAAGTGAAGTATCAAGTGTGATGTCGAATTTTAAAGGCAGCAGATCAACTGTAGCTCTGAACAGATGCCTGAGATAGCTTTTGTTTCTAAAAATTGGTTTTCATCTAATACTGTATGATACTGTGACTTCTAGCCATAGGTGGAATGTGTTACAGATCAATATGGAGTATTAATAATCAGCAACATGGTGACTGTGATATATTTCTCCTTAACTGCAGAATATAGCAGCCTGTTTCACTAATGTTTATATAGATGCATAAGATTTGTTCTTTCTCTTAACTAAAATAGATAACAAGGCCAGATAATCTGTGGTCAAGGAATAAATAGTACAAGGTCCATCAAGCAAAGTGGAGGGGATTAGATGGGGCTGAGATTCTGATGTGAGCACTAGCTATGAAAGGGGAAAGGTATTTGGGAAAAATCAGGTGGAGGTGTGTGGGACAAACAACAGGACAGCCCCGTATTGCCACGAGGACAAGTTGGTGCAGCGATGGCACCATCCGTCGAGTCCCTTCACTGAGCTTGTCCTCTGGTGTTGATTTCATAAGCAAACGCGAGCAGAGGCAGTGCACGTGCAGCACTCCTCGCTGGGAGTACTGGTAATGCTGGTATAAAACTAGTACAGGTAAAATAAGCTAATACTAAGATAAAAACATGTAGACAGCTAAGTATCTTGGAGTATAATACAGCATGTCTTTTAGGTAAGGTGTCTTGCTCCTTGATTTAAACTGATGCACTTATTTTGCATTTGCCCTTCAGTTATTGTTTAGAGAGAGGCTAACTCTCTTTGACTAGTAACCACTAAAGCATATTGACCTTCAAGTAAATGGTGTTGAATGTGAAGCTTTTTTGCTAACAGAGAGATTAGTTACTCAGAGGCTTGACTGTCTCTTGCAATAACAAAAAGCAGCAAAATAATTTTTATCCTATGATTTAGACTACCTTCTTTTTGCATGGAAGTGCAAAGTAGCAGAGGAGGAGAGCAGCTTAACTTTTTAAAGCAGATATATCCCTAAGTTCACTGGATACTTTAAAGAAATCTTTCTTTTAAAACAGTTACCATTAAGTAGCCATACAACCTAATTGTTTCCAAAACTGTTCAAGTTTTTAGAATTAGTAGGTGAGTTCTTAAATGCTTAGAATTTACTCATAGTAAGCATCTATTCAAATCTTTCCTTCTGTTTTCATCCCCATATGGATCTTTCAGTTTTGAATAAACTAGGTAGGGAACAGAAAAGAGTTCTCTGCACCTGCAGAAGAGGCTGCAGCTGTCTGAAGTTTGTTGTTTTAAGAAGTGTGAACTTCCAGGTGCCTATCTTATGACTTCCTGTTCCTTAATACTTAATACTTAAACTTGCTTGTTTAAGTATCTTAACTTCTACTTGAAAGCAAATTTGCTGCTTATTAAAATAGCTAGTATTGCATATGTTAATGAGTGCTGTGGATTTTCATCTGAAATTTCAGATTTTTGTAAAAAATCAACTTTTGATTAATATAATTGTGTTTTAATAAATATGATTTTGATTAGAGAGGAATAGATAAGAATATCAAGAAAATAGATAAAATGTTTTAACTAAAACTTCTTATGTCTTGCAGATAAGGAGTATCTCCTGATTGTTATTCAGAACCCATGTGAATAGTCCTACGACAACAATATTTTTAGACAGTGATGTAGCTCTACTTTTTAAACTAATATTCCTTACTGATATTTAATATCAAACATACCACTGAGTAATTTTCATAATGTGTAACTGTCATGACTGAAATGTTGCCAAATTAAAATTTTCAGTTGTAGCTGTATCAGTTTTTGCTTGAGCACAACATAATGCACGCATTAAAATATTGTATGTTTATCTTGGTACTCAGAAGACCAATAATAAAGCAAAATGCTTAAAACTCATTTTTGCTAGATATTCAAGCTATTCTAGTCATTCTCTTCAAATTTCTAACTTTATGCTAGCGGAGAGGTCATACCTCATGGGAACTGGGTAGCATGGATACAAGCTTTCTCCCTTGAAACGCAAACTGCACTTCAGGGTATATACTGAAGCACTGTGAAAAAGAGGGGAGTTTGTGCTGCATCTGTGCTTGAAATATTGCCCAGTCATACTTACATTAAACACGCAGGGGTTTGTCTCAACCTGATGTGAACTGTGGCCATTTCTCTTGCATCGAATTCCAAATTGGACACCTTAAAAATGTTTTACCAAGTGTTATGGTTTATGTGGATTATATATATATATACACATATATATATGTATATATGTAGGACGGGTCCTGGTGGCTTAAATTTTCCAAATTTTGGTTTGTATGGATTCAGTTGATAACAAGGAATTAAAGACGATTTAAAATGTGGGATGGCAATAATCCTAGCTATAAAGTTAAAAGCTGAAAATCTGACTAGTGCTTGGGGATCTTTGTAGTCTATAACATGAATTGTGGTTGGGATTATGAAACTGCTAAATCACAGAATGTCTCAGTGGATGTGCAGCCAACAATATTCTATTACAGTTTTGTTATTTATCACACAATGCCTCAACTAGGGAGAACCATGCAGGCAGGCTGGTGTTTTCCCCAGTCTGTGCAGGTTTGCTGTGACTTCACTGGAGAGCTTGGGCAGGACAGAGCGCACTGCAAAACGTGCACGGGTTTGGGGGCTCCGGGTCTCGGCCTTGCGGTCCGCGCGGGTCGCGGCAGGGCGGGCGGCGGGGCCGGAGCTCGGAACATGCAGGTGGCTGCAAATCAGCGCAGGGGCCCCAGGGCCAGGCTTGGTGCGAGCGAAACGCAGCGGTGCAGCCGGGCAGCAGCTCGAGCCAAATGTGGAGACTGTGCAAGTCATGGGGACGGGTCCTGGTGGCACTGACTGTTCGGTGCTGAGCAGGTATGATCTCCTACATTAAATTCTGTGGAGGGTTTCACTGTCTAACTAGCAAACATCCAGAACGGCAGTTCCTCACAAACGTTTATTGTCAGAAATATTGGTGTTGCAGTTTCAACCCTCAGTGAAAGTGGCCTTTTGGCCCAACCACCCCAGAAAAGCTTCATGCCTGGCACTGCTCTTTCATTTTTGTCTCTGATACATGTGTTCCCTCTGCCGACTTTAATCCAATATTTATTAAGCAGATGATTGCTGTGGCTTGATAAAGCACTCAAAAAGACACTTAAGCCAAATCATTAAAATTAAACATATGCTAAATCATTTTCCTCAAAAATGTTTTATGTGGAAAAATGGTCTTAAGCAGATGCATGTAGTTCTCAAAGGGTCAAGTACTGCTCACAAATTAGTCTCTTCCACTGTTTCCACAAGAAGCGTAAATGCAGATAAGGGGGCAAAGTTTGGTCCCGTTTATAACTGTGCACGTAGCAACAAGCGCCGCGCAAACCAGGCTGAGCTCTGCTGCTGCCACCTTTCCTGAGCAAGACAGTCTCTAGCCAGGGTTCCTTGAAAGCTCTGTAGTACAAAATTTTAGCAATATCTTCACTAGAGAGGATAAATTGAAATTGTTTCATTTCCTGCTATGTTCCTCTTTTGTATTAGCAAAAATAAACTCAATACATGCGTAAACCTTCCACTGAAGTCTTGAAGTAGGAAGTGGAAACAAAAATAGTTACATTCTTAGCAATGCTAATGGAAAACCCTAGTCAGCACATTAATCTGAACAAAGATGGGCAAGTGGAGCAGTTGAGGCGAAATAGAGGGAAGCAATTTTTAAGTTACTTGAGCACCACCAGTGTGTGACATAAGATTGTTTGAGCTGTCATTTATGTGAGAGCAGCAGATCTCTTATCAGTCGTGTAAGATTTAGAATATTGATACGATTAACTGGCGGCTGGGGCTTGTCTGTGGAGGGGCATGTTAAGAGATTCATTTCATAAATAATCGTTTTGTCAAGTGAGTGTTTACCGTGGCAAAACGGCTGCTGTTAGCGAAAGGCAGTTTTTGGATTCCCTTGGGAATTCCCGCTGGGTGAGGAAACAGCCTAGGTAAGACTGTGTAACACATAGCCAAGGAAGAGCTCATCAGCATTGCATGCTTGGGGTGCTCACAGTCACCTAAAACAGCAAATTCTTGTAGAATTCAGCTGGACACTTTCAAAAGGCAAGTACCCTGGGTTTTCCTCAGCATACAGTTTTGCAAAATGCCTAATTCCTCACGCGGCAACAGCCTTTGCCAGTTTTCTGATTTATTTAAACTTTTCATTCGAGGCAGTTCATTTCCTAAATTTTGCTCATCTCACATTAAAATAGATTTTTAAATATTTCATTTAATGCACATCCAATGCATTTGGTAATATATTTTTCTATGAAGTCACTTGTTCTTTAGACATGTGAATTATCATTTAACCTACTTCACACAATGCACGTGGGAAGTGCCAACTTGTGACAGTATCGTCAACTTCATGAGAGTAGGTCAGCTTAATAACATGTCACTGTTGTGGCTGAAAGAGCCATTGGGAATATATACATCTATATACATTCTATTCTGAAGAGTTATTCAATGAGTGCTGGAATAAAAACAGTGAGAATGGCACTTTTCATAAACAGGCTTCTCCTATCACAGGAAGCAGTCCCGGTTCCACCGTCTCAGCTCAGTATGAAGCAGGTTCTGGAGTGGGCCCACAGAAAAAGCCCCAGTAGTCCTAAATAAACCCATGTCACCCTTTTAATTATGTTCTAGTTATTAAGTTACTACCTAGAGACAGCAAGATAATTCCCCTATTGATTTTTCAAGTCTCAGGCAGTTAAATCAGAGAAGCCAGGAGAATTCCAAGTTCATGTTTCCTTTGCCTGGCACCTGAACAAATTAAATCTCTCAGTTTGTAGAAAAATTAGGTCATAACAACAAGGTTCACTGTGGGACTTCACAGTATCCATAGGAGAAGGGAAGACTGATGTGTGGGGGGAAAGCCTAGTGTGTCCCAGGTTAACTAGACGTAAGAGCAGAGCTGCATGGGATGCCTGCATAGAGCATAGCACAGACCTGAATTTCTCTGAATTTCAGGACATTCATATTTGAGAACATAGTGGACTGGAGGCAGGCTCCACTTTAAAGTACATATATGTATATATATGCAAGGCCTAGCAGGAAAGTAGAAGCCACAGGGAGATCTCAGCTGATTTCTTGAGCATTACGGACAATCTGAGGGAGAAAATCTGAATTCTCCTTTAGGCTGCCACCACAGAGAAAATCGGCTGGTCTAAACATGTACTGTTTTTAGGCATCTCTGCAAGTTCAGGGGGACATTATCTTTAAATAATGGTCAAAGCACTCACTGAGAAGTCCTTTCTGAGGAGTTTTTAAAAGTTGCCCTGAACAGGGCACATTTTAATTTTTTAAAACAATACTGATTTAAGCCCAAATTCTTCATACTGAATGCATGACAAGATGTCATAGGTTGGACCTTCACTCACCCTACTTCTGACAAGCTGGGGCTCTCAACTAAGTTTAATCTTGAGTGTCCTTCTTCCTCTTCTTCTTCAAAAATAAATAAATCAACCTTTGATTTGACTACCCTTTCAGCTACCCTGGCTCTGCATCATCAGCTCCAGTGAAAGAGTTTCAATCTAAAATAGCTGAAATGATACATGACAGATACCACCAGCTTGAGCCCATGGCAGTTGGGTCAGAAGTCTGGACATGCTTGCAGAGCCTTGTTGCTAAAGGTACTGAGCAGGAAGACAGCTACAGGAGAGCATTCTTCACTGAAAATGTATAGAAGTCTGCATTAGCTATTGGCTGGCAATACCTTAGAGGGAGAATTGTTTAAATGTCATGATCATAAAGAATAGAACAGCACAGAGAATATCAGAAAAAATAACTAAATAGAAGCTCAGGCCAAGAAAGGTATCTGCAATGTGGCTGATCAAGAAGAGTAGCACCCAGAGGCACTTTGCATTTTCAGAGTAGAATAGGAACGTGGAGAAGAATGTGGGACTGCAGCCGTTACCACAGGAGGAGAAACAAAAGGATATTCAGCTTTCTCAGGTGTTTACATATATGGACACCTAAGTTAAATCAAAGAAGGTGTCTGCAAAGCGTGACTCTGCAGGATACATCACCACCATTCAACTGGAGTGACTTTCCCAGCATGGAAGATAAACTCTTCCTCCAGCCAGCAAACTCTTCCTCCCTGCCTTGTCCCAAGGGGCACCTGCATTTGTCAGACAAATCGGTGTCTGTCAAACCTGTCGCAAACTCTGCCGAAGGCAGCCTTACTCTCACCCAACCTTTGTCCTGAACCAAGTTCTTGCGTGCGACCTTTGGCGAGGCCCTGCGGGAGCCTCGCGGTCGGTCTCCACGAGGTTCCGGAGCTGCTTGCAGCAGTTCACTGCCTCGCTCAGGCCAGAACCCGGAGCAGGGAAGCAAACAGGATAAGACACATGGTGAAATACTTACACTGGTAATAGGACAGTGCTATCTTCGTAAGGAACTCCTACTGCCACTTGGGAAAAGCTACCAGTCTTTTTTATGTTTACCAGCAATCTGCAGTGATTTATAAAATAATGTCCAGCACCAGATTTACCTGTTTCTCCACCAAAAGTCACGGAGCATTCACAATACGCTTGCCCTTTTCTAGCTCACATGAGGAAACACAGCTCACATGAGGAAATACATGAGGGAAAAAAAGGTACAATCTGCAGGATCAGATTGACATCTTTTCTACTAGCTTTTCCAAGAGAATAACTTCCCTATTTCGAATGAAATTATTCAGCATTCACACAAGTTTTGCTTTCCCCTTGTGTGTCCTGTTTTGGAAGAATTTCAAAAATACAAGTAAGATGCAAGGCTCAGCAAACTACAAAACAGAAAGTTACAGGGAATAAAATTCAGTATCCTCACAACACTGCTGCATTTTCAACCAAGCTTACTCTTTTCCTTTACAGAAAGAGAGGAA